CCACCGTGCCAGCAGGGAAGCCCAGCTGCTCTTATTTTACTTATTGATATTTAGCTCCATATCCAGATATTGGTATTTTACAATTGTATTATGTAAGACTTGGGAAGTTCCACACTCCTCCAACCCCCACCCCAGCCACCCTTTGCCCTTCATTTTCCTGATGTGTTATAAAGTGGTATATAGCTAACGACTAAAAAGAGAATCAGGGAAGAATTCTAGGGCACCTCCCGTCTCTTCCAAATTTCTTCACGTTTATTCCCTATTTCTTCTATGCTGGTGAAATGCTTTTGACTGTTGAAGAGTTACCAACTAAAAGCTAAAACAGATTAAAATCTTTAATTGAAAAGTCATTGCTTTCTGTGTTGCTTTATTTATTCAACTTACATTGACTCTCAATTGATCTTAACAGCTTGCTACTAGGCATTGTGTGACAGGCTAAGAAGTGCCCTGCCCTCAAGGAATGTACAGTTTAGTTGGAGGGATATAAAGAAGTACACATTTAGGTGCCAAAAGAATGGAACATATGAGTACTCTAGGCCATTCAAAAAATAGATGAATGGGTTTGAAATAGTCATAATGAATGTTAGTAGACAGATGGAGGAGTAAGGTTTTCTAGGTAAGGCACATGGCATCAGTAACAGTATAGAGGCAGAAACTGGTAAATCAATGGGCTGATAAATAAAAATAAATAAATGTGTATGCTGATTTTCATGTTAAAAGGTTTTATGTTGGGGAATAACGGGAGCTAAATTAGAGAAAATAGTGATTCAGGTTGTAGGGGACCTCGAATGCTTGGCTAAGGAGTGTGTCTTTAGTACTATAGGCACCAGAAGGGAATTGAAAGCTTCTAAGAAAAGGAGGGGCATGGGCAAAGTGGATTGGGGAGATTAATTTGTTGGTGGAATGCAAAATGGTTCTGAAGAGAGATTGGAGGCAACAAGAGGCTATGTGGTCTGAGTTTATGAGAGTTTTCACCAGATTGATTGATCTGGCAGTATAAAGGAAGGATTGAGCCAGAGAAAGCCTAGGAAACTAGACATGGAGGAGGGCGTATGAGGTTCCAAGCCTGAGTGAGTGGGAAAAAGTTGGTTTCACCAAGATAAATAAATAAGAAGGGCTGGTCTGGGGGGCATGTGTGTAGAGAAAGACATGGACACCTGCTACATTTAGGCTGCCTGCAGGACATGAGGCTATTATGTCTAAGTGGATCATTGCTACCGCATAAATTGACCAGAGCTGCAGTCTGTATGCCTCTGCTCTGAGGTGGGCTTGGGTGGGGGTTATTAGAAGGTTTTGCACACTCAGCTTTGTCCCTTTCAGGCAGGAGAGAGCATCGACTGTCAGAGCCTTCCGAGTCCTCAAGGGGCCTGGTCAGGAAGTACAATTTTAATAGAATTAGCTGAAAGATGAACACATGTCAGGTGGTGGTTTGGCAGTAAGTCATTGCTGCTAACTTTGACAGGCTAAGTGTCACATTATTAATGGCTTTTATGCATGGCTAAGAGGGTTAACATTTAGCAAATTAGATTCCTCAGTTTTTGTCCTGCTCTTGTATTTTATGGGTATGATAGGGTATGTTACCTTTCTGCGCCTTGGCTTCCTGTTTTTAAAATAGGAAGCTTGTTGTGGCAACGTTCATAAACATTTTGAAAGCTACAGATAAAAAGCACTGCAGCATTCTCTCGCCTCCCACCCTCACCCCAAAGACTGAGTCCGTCTCTGGGAAAGGTCATCCATTTCACTGAATTCTTTCAATGGCTAACTCCCTAAGTCAGTTAATTAGCATTTTTCTAAAATGCTTTTACCAGTCCAGAGCTCAAAGATGAAGTCTATAACTGTCTTTTCTATCTCCTGGATTTGCTCATCCTCCTGACCCCTTTTTACACAGTGGCTGGTGCCATGTGACTCCCACTTCTAGGCTCTTGGATCAAACCCAGCCATACTGGAGGGAAATTAGAGTTCTATATTAATACTCTGGGACCTCAGCATGAAGTAACCATGGTTAGTATGAAATGCAGTCTCAGTTCTAGGTATTAAGTGCCTCCTTTGTTTCTAAGTCTCCCTCTGTCTGCCAGATCTGGGCTTTGGATACTTGTCTTGTCCTGAGCCCAAGTCCTTGTCCTCCAAACTTGCCTAGTACCTCCTCTCAAGGACCTGAATTCTACTTGTTATCATCCGTTCCCCAAAGGGAGAGAAATCCAGACCTGGAAGACAGCACTGAGGCTGGGCCCTTGCTATAAGCAACACATTTCCTTAAACCTTGCCACGATTTCCCAATTTCTGTCTGCTCCTGGATTTCCCAAGGCTGCGTAGCCGCTGCCCATTGGCTTACCACACTCGCATCCTCTGTGTTGAACCAGCCTATCCTGGCTGCCTTCCTGGTTACTGCCGGTTACATACCCTCCAAATACTGTCTTCTGGCTGCACACTTATCACGACAGATGGGTCTGCCTCCAATTCCATGGATGTATCTAGTTCTGGTCTCCACTTCTTCCAGTCTACCTCACCCCAATTACAGTTAATCCTTTTACATTAAACTACAGCAGATATTTGCTGGAGTGGAAACTGATGTGGTTTTGGAATTTTATCCTTGTTTACATCTTCCTATGTGTTGGAAAAGCTTGGGATCACTTCCAAAAGCTGCTTAGAGAGCTTTCCTGTCTTCTTTAGGAGAAACAAATTAACACTTGACAATACCTTGTGTCTGTGACAAAGGCTCAAGGCCACTCTCTTAATTGTAAAATTGCATATTTAATCTTAATTTTGCTTTTAGACATACTAATATATTTTAAAGTATATTTTAGCCAGTGTTCATTCACGTCTCTCAATTTCAAGGTATGTTATTGGAACTTCATGGCTTTGTGCTTATAAGGAAACGAACAAATCAAGGCTGGGGATGGTATTCTACATTGGTATTTTCAAATTTTAAGGTATATTAAAATCTTCCAGAGGGTTCGTTAAAATAGATAGCTAGGTTTCACACCCAGAGTTTCTCTGGATGCCTGAGAATGTGCATTTCTTCTTTTTTTAACAAACTATTCTTTTAAAAAAATATTTATTTATTTGGCTGCACTGGGACTCTTACTTGCAGTATGCGGGATCTAATTCCCTGACTAGGGATTCGAACACCTGGCTGCCTGCATTGGGAGCACACAGTCTTAACCACTGGACCACCAGGGAAACCCTAAAAATTTGTGTTTCTAACAAGTTCTCAGGCAATGTTGACACAGCTGCTCCTGGGATTACACTTTGAGAACAACTGGCCATACGTTTAAACTGGCCACAGGTGACCAGAAGCTGAGCAGTTAATGACCAGTTCAAACTCTTATCTGAATGGATAAGGTGGAGAGTGCTGAGAAATAAACTTCCAAAGTTCAGTCCATGCAGTTAGGATGACTGTTGGTTCCAGAGGTCTTTCAACCACTTCTGAGAACTTGGGCAATCACTTAGTTTCTTTGTGTTTGGGGTTCCTAATTCATAAAGTAAGGCTAGACTGTATGCTGCCCTTACAGGAGTATTGTGAAGGTCAAATGAAATGGGTGTGGAAATGTTTGAACTGTAAAGTGGTGTGACTCTGGGAGGTATTGCAATTGTTTTTCAATATTCTTCTTAAAACGTCACCACGGATTTCTTTTGGCTCTCTTGCTTTTCTCATTAATTATAGCAACTTTAATCCAGGAATAGAGAGTACACTTATTGCTATCATAAACTCAAACTTCAAACTCTTTTTTAAAAAAAATTTAATTCAATGAGATCAGACATGCCATATAAACATTACACAGAGCCAAGAATGATTCCCAGACTTTACAGCTATAAAAAGAAAAGTACGAGACCCTGTTGTGACTTGGGGTGGAGACGCCGTTAATCTTTCAACCCTGTTTAAATTGGCCCATTAATAAAAATGGCTACAAGTTACAGCACGTTAAAAAATAAAATCACTGTGTACAATGATCAACCTGTCTACCCCATACCTTTACACCTCTTGCAACTTCTGTTAATTTATCTGTCTTTGGAAAGTAGTAAATCTGTCCAATCCTGGCCGTGGTCATTTTTCTCAGTCAAGGGCCTCCAGCTCACTCTATGGACCAACACAGTTCTTGCTCAAAGTGGGTGCGTTTGTGAGTTTTCAACCGTCATCAGCTGTACCTAATTCTTTCCGGCCTTCAAGGAGTATCTCAGATATGAGCCTCATTGTTCCTAGGCCTTTAATAAATATCGTAATTCGTCAGCCAGGATGCTGACAAGGTTTCGGGGGGTGGAAGACCCGGTTTCTGGACTGGTGAAGGAACTTGCCAGCTTCGGGTACCGGGAGCGCAGTGGGGTATACTACAGCCTCGACTCGCTATCCCCGGAACCTCGGCAGCCCCGCCCCCAGGCCCGGGCCCGCGTCCGCGTCCGCTCGCGCTTCCCCCGGGCGCCGCCAGGAGGCGCCCGCGGCTGCGGAGGCGCTGCGCGCACCCGCGGGGAGCCGGATCAAGGGGCGGAGGGAGAGGAGAGGAGAGGAGGAGCTGGAGGGGGCGCGGCTTGCTCCCGGTGCCTCTCGGGCGCCGGGCCTCCTTCTCCGCCAGGCTCTGGGCTGGCGGCCGGCGGGGGTCGCGGCGGCG